CCTAGTCACCCTAGTCACCGAAGTTGTCCTATAGTCATCCTAGTGACCCTAGTCACCCTACCAATTCTAGTCACCCAAGTCATCCTAGTCACCCAAGTCATCCTAGTCACCCTAGTCATCCTAGGCACCCTAGTCACCTTAGTCACCTTAGTCATCCTAGTCACCCAAGTCATCCTAGTCAACCTAGTCATCCTAGTCACCCTAGGACACCCAAGTCACCCTAGTCATCCTAGTCACCCTAGTCACCCTAGTCGCCCAAGTCATCCTAGTCACCCTAGTCATCCTTTCCAAACAAGTCACCCTAGTCACCATAGTCACCCTTTAGTCATCTTGGTCAACTTAGTCACCCAAGTCATCCTAGTCACTCTAGTCACCCAGGTCATCCTAGTCATCCTAGTCACCCTAGTGATCCTCGTCACCCTAGTCACCCAGGTCATCCTATTCACCCTATTCACCCTAGTCATCCTTGCCAAACAAGTCACCCTAGTCACTATAGACACAATAGTCACCCCAATCACCCTAGTCATACTAGTCACCCTAGTCACCCAAGTAACCCTTCTCACCCTAGTCACCTTAGTCACTTAAGTCATCCTTGTCATCCTAGTCACCCTAGCTAGTCATCCTAGTCATCCTAGTCATCCAGTCACCCTAGTCATTCCAGTCACCCTAGTCACCTTAGTCACCCAAGTCACCTTAGTCATCTTAGTCACCCAAGTTACCCTAGTCATCCTTGTCACCGTGCTAGTCACCCTAGTCACCCTAGTCACCTAAGTCATGCTAGTCATCTTGGTCACCCTTGTCACACTGGTCACCTTTCCATTTATTAAGCAATGAAAGACTTGACCCTGTTTTTACTCACTTAGATATATAATGCATACAATTGAAAAGAAAAGAGATGATTCCTGTCATAATTCCGGTTACCCAATTCCGGTTCATGGAACGCAGAAAGCTGCATCTTGGAGAGTCTAATTTTACAAATTTCCTGGGGGGCATGCGCTTGGACCCCCATAGGAATTCTTGCCTCTGTCACCCAAAGTTTGCGAGCGGTGCATGTCCGCCAGCTGAACCACTGCATTCAGTACTTCCAAATGCTACCTAAAACCCTGGGTGACTAGGGTGACAAGGGTGATCAGGATGACTAAAATGACTAGGGTGACTTGGGTGACTAGGATGACTAGGGTCACTAGGGTGACTCGGGTGACTTGAGTGACTAGCTTGACTTGGTTGACTAGGATGACTAGGGTGACTAGGGTGAGTAGAATGGCTTGGGTGACTAGGGTGATTAGGGTGACAAGGGTGACAAGGGTGACTATGGTGACTAGAGTGACTTTCGTGACTAGGGTGACAAGGATGACTAGGTTGACTACGGGTACTAGGGTGACTAGCGTGACATGATGGGTGCCTTGAGTGACTTGGGTGACTACAGTTCTTGAGTTTCAGAAAAAAATTATGGGGCCAGCTGGCCCTAGAATAACTAGAGGTACTGGGATTTTTAGCCTCGTAGGTTTTTATTCAACATTAACAATCATATTCACTTTCACATCTTTATCTTCATGTATTAGTTAATTAATGCGTTCATTTTTTTTCTTAACTAATGAATACATGTACATCATTCCATTCATGTAGAGCATCTNGGTGACTTGAGTGACTAGCTTGACTTGGTTGACTAGGATGACTAGGGTGACTAGGGTGAGTAGAATGGCTTGGGTGACTAGGGTGATTAGGGTGACAAGGGTGACAAGGGTGACTATGGTGACTAGAGTGACTTTTGTGACTAGGGTGACAAGGATGACTAGGTTGACTACGGGTACTAGGGTGACTAGCGTGACATGATGGGTGTCTTGAGTGACTTGGGTGACTACAGTTCTTGAGTTTCAGAAAAAAATTATGGGGCCAGCTGGCCCTAGAATAACTAGAGGTACTGGGATTTTTAGCCTCGTAGGTTTTTATTCAACATTAACAATCATATTCACTTTCACATCTTTATCTTCATGTATTAGTTAATTAATGCGTTCATTTTTTTTCTTAACTAATGAATACATGTACATCATTCTATTCATGTAGAGCATCTCAGCAGGCATTAAGACATGGTTTGTCCGTAGAGGTTGATAGACTAAGAGAGCAGATTGAGAAGCTTGAAAATAAGGTACATTTTTTCTAGTTACTTAATTTATTGTTTGTTTTTGCATTAAGCAAGATTTACTTTACTTGTCGGCATGGTTTCCTCTGATTTTGTTGACTTCTTCTTACATGTTTTTGGTATGTAATGGTGCTGTACATGTATTTAACCTTTTTAATGCAACAACAGTTATATTTTTGTTTAAACTAGCTGGCCTGGGGGCAAGCCCTGGGGGGTGGCCATAGGCAAAGAAAAAAGCTAGCGCTAGCTTTCATTCTCTCCCAACACCTTCCCCACCCCTCAAGAGCTTGCTAGCAGGCTATGTATTCACTCTTAAGTCTGATACATTTAACAGGTCAAGTTTGATGTTATTGATGAAGAAGAAGTACAGAACTTGGAAATGAGCAGTTGGTAAATAAAATTCCATTATAATTTTATACTTTGGCTATTAAAAATTTGTTATCCCTGAAGTACAGGTATAGTACAGTGCAGGGCTGTTACTTTGTGTCGAGGACCGGGGATCTCCTCGGCTTCTATGAGCATGTCCCTGGCCCCAGCTTCTTTCGTAGGAAACAAACTCTTTTCTGTGTGGCTTTTCAGGTGGTTTTGGTGTCTAGGAAATTCCAAGTTCATTCCAAGGCAGGAAAGGCTTTTCGTTCAAATTTGAAGAGCTACATAGCGTCAACATCAATGGCAGAAGGCTGTTTGCAGTAAGTTCCTGGCAATATTAATTTTATAGGGCGCTTAAGCAAAAACAACGGTGACGGCTTCGAAAACGTCACTTAAAAAGTAAATTTGCACTGCTTCAAACTTTATCGCGCTTATTCCAACTCGTTTAGTTCGTCAAATGTTGGCAAATTTTTCTGGAGCTGAATTCAAAAAGACTGTATCAAAGTTCAGGAAAAGAAAAAGAAAGTCGTTTTCTTGTGTTCACGTCCACGACAAAACGCGAAATTAGTCACTTTCACGTTGTAGTCGTGCATCGACGTCAAAAAAATGTACAAATATCGTGATGCATGTATAAAGTTGTTGTTTTGCCAATCAAAACCTATTGGTTTTTTGCCGTTCTTGTTGCCGTCGCCGTCGTTGTTGCTTAAGCTCCCTAATTATTTTGACCCTGTTACGAGGCACAAACCCTGTAGTCTATACAAAGTGCCTTGTATGTAGGCCTTTAAATCAGTTAGCAATAGTTATTCTTCCCGAAAGTACAGATAATGTACTTTAAAAGTAATAAACATGATCATTATTATTTCTACCGTTGCAGCCTTGGTGTGCGCACTATCACGGGAACAAACACATTTATGGTTTATGAAATCTGGGCAAACAGTGAGGATTTAAACAGGTCAGAAATGTTAGCATAATAATTTATTACAGTTAAGAAACCTCCATGTCCAACCACCCCTCATAAGCGACTCGCTTCTGTAAGGGATCGTGTATCCTGTTCAAAGGACATGACTATAAAATCTCTTAAAATTTAATTACATTTTTTGGAATTATTATTCAATGCAATAACAAGTTTCTTCAATAAAATGTGTGGATGTTTTGACATTTTGTGCGATGTTATTACCGTAACTTCGAACGGCTCGGCCCATGTACAGTACAGGTTTTAGCTACCCGAAAGTAGCAACCCGCCAAAAGGAGGAGGAGAAAGCTGCTAAATCCGAAACTTTACGGTAGGAGACTGTTGCATCTGGCTTAGTTATTATTACAGAATTCATGGGCACAAATCCAAGTGGAATTTAGCTTTTATTTTACACGATTCGTTTAAATGTTCCAGCAAAATAACATTATAGTTTTAATACTTTTGTTAACAGCCACTTTTCTTCAGACACCTCTAAGATGTTCATGCGTGGTAATATTGATCACTTAGAGCAACCTGAAGAGTACCACAAGATGGCTGTTCCTGGTAAGTTGAAGTTCCTTTGGAGTATTAAACTTAAATTCCCGAATGAAAATACAACCATCGGGTTGCCAGCGAATACCTTTACCCCCACCCTGCCAGCAGTTGCCAGCCAATACCTTTACCCCACCCTGTCAGCAGTTGCCAACGAATACCTTTACCCCCCACCCTGTCAGCAGTTGCCAGCGAATACCTTTACCCCCACCCTGTCAGCAGTTGCTATCGAACACCTTTACCCCCACCCTGTCAGCAGTTGCTAGCGAATACCTTTACCCCCACCCTGTCAGCAGTTGCTAGCGAATACCCTTACCCTCACCCTGTCAGCAGTTGCTAGCGAATACCTTTACCCCCAGCCTGTAAGCAGTTGCCAGCGAATACCTTTACCCCCACCCTGTAAGCAGTTGTCAGCGAATACCTTTACCCCCACCCTGTAAGCAGTTGCCAGCCAATATCTTTACCCCCACCCTGTCAGCAGTTACCAGCCAATACCTTTACCCCTACCCTGTCAGCAGTTGCCAGCGAATACCTTTACCCCCACCCTATCAGCAGTTGCCAGCGAATACCTTTACCTACACCCTGTCAGCAGTTGCAGCGAATACCTTTACCCCCACCCTGTCAACCGTTGCCAGAGAATACCTTTACCCCCACCCTGTCAGCAGTCTTCCTTTCTTTTCCTCGATTTTGGCGAACTCGAGAAAGATTCTGCATGAATCGAGTAAAATCTTCGTGGCATGTTGCTAGGATGTAGTTCATCCCAGTCATCTCAGTCTTCCCAGTCATTAGTCACCCCAGTCATCTCTGTTATCACATTTCATTTTTGCTTACTGTTTCCCTTTTTATACTACTACAGCAGAAAATTCTGCAATTTGATTGCTTAGAGCAGTAGTATTTCAGCATAATTTGAAATACCTACATGTGAAAATTACAAACCTTTTGCGGGAGTAGTATAAACAAATAATATGATTTGTACGTGATATTGGCATAAATACCACTCGTGATATTTCAGAATTGTCTCAAATTTCACTCGCCTAACGGCTCGTTAAATTACGTATAACAATTTCGAAATATCACTCGTGGTATTTATGCCAAATATCACTACAAATCATGCTATTACCTATACTAGCACTGTTTACATGCACTTTTTTGCACTTTCGTTTTCTATATATAATATGTCCACGAATCATGCTGATTTCTGAGCTTTTGATAATGATGACATAAAGCCATCGAAACGTCAAGTTTCTTTTATACCGTTAATTTTTCTTTTAAAACACTGTTTGCGTTCTCTTAAATTTCTAGCTTCTTGGTGGAGAGGACCAACCAGCTGAACAACTCAGTCTCCAAAGAATGCAGGCCTTCTTAGTAATAATTAGAGTATCGTGGTCAGATACACAAAGCAAGCATTGGTACTGAACTGGGTGGCTTGTCTCAGAAAACCGTGTGTCGGTTTTATTTCATAAAGTACGTGATTTTATTGACAATCTCCCTAAACAATTCTCGCAGAAAACGGCAAAATGAAAAAAAAAAATTTAAGAATCAGCCCATGCCCCTCATTGTACGCTCAGGTAGATCTAATAGCATATTTAACAGCTTTTGACGGGCGCCTGGAAAAAAAAGCGCCAAGTGATTTATGATTACACTGTTCGATTCTCCTTTCAAATAGTGTAACTAGCAGAGATCTAATTAATAGAAAAAAGAAAACTATTGCACTTTCCGGCCTTTTTTATTGTATCAATTAAAATTAACTTTACGGCCACTTTCAAATTACCAGTTACATATATTTGAGTACATTTTTCTTTGGTGAAGGAGTTTCAATATTTTACTTTTTGCAACACGAACTTTCTGCAGTTAAATTAAGACAAACGGGAGAAGAACCCTAGTCGTCTACTGTCTACTTTAACTGCTTTGACCCACCTATTCTAACTCTCTACTTTAAGAGGTGTATGTTGAGAGAAAGTCGACTGTACTTCCCTACTTGAACGTGTTCATTTAATATCGATAATTGAGCTTAGCTTTCTTTTCACTTTTTTGTCTCTTTAACTTTGCATCAATAACATCTTGACATCAAAGGAGTATAGATTTTTAAAGATAAGCTATAAAACGATTAACCCATGTGAATTGGAGATTTACTCGATTGTAAATGGAAATTCACCATTACTGAAAAATGCAGAGTAAATAACCTTACATTACTTTAAAAACAATTATAAATAACCACTGAAAATACTTAAAAGGAAATAATTATGTTCTAAAGGGCAAAAATCTAGTCTGGACGTAGTGGCTGAAATTTTCTTTAAATGTTATTTTAAAATTTCTCTTAGCCACACACTTTAAATGCACTTCAACTCGCGAACTACTTTGTACACAACCGACGCTGTATGTTTTAAGAAACACTTACTCGCCAATTTCAGTTTTCAGCAAAACTTTTGACCATTTTAATAAACTGTGATATTTTATCCTATGAAGGCGTATATAGTTCTTTTTTATAATTTGTTTAACTTTAACTAAAAGAATCCCTTTTTCTTGTCCTTCTTTTTCTCTTTGTCTTTTTCCTTTTCTTTTACATTGACTCCATCTACGGACCTGCAGAGAAAACAGACCGACATTAGCTACGACTTGAGGCTTCTTTAAAAAACATACCGTGCTGTCAGAACTGTTTAAAGAATGGTTCCATAATCTCAATGTTTCCTCGGGAAACAAAATCAAATAGTTTACTGAAGGACCAGACATAAAGTGATTTGATATAACCCCTACGAAGAAAAACTTCTACGCGTACATGAAACTTATCAAAGTAAATCTCGGCGCGCGGTCAAAATTTGCGGTTATTGTTATTGTTGGTACCCTGTGGCGTCATAGATTTTACAGTGTTAGGTGGCGGGAACCCATTTCAGTGTTAGACGTCATGTGACCTAGAAGTGACCAATGAAATCACTCGCTGATGAGAAAACAAGCAGGAAGCCCGTACAACAAACCTTGGTATCGACTCTAGGTCCCCCACTCCCCCCCCCCCCCCCCCGAGTCTCCCTTCCCCCCCCCCCCCCCCCCCCCCCACTTAAAAGCGGCTTACTTTCCCATTCCTTCCCCCCCCCCAACAAAAGGGGGGCCAACCGAACACCCACCCCAAAACAACCTCCCCGTGGTCGGGGGGAAAGCCAAACACCTAAAACCCCACTTTGTCTTTTTTTATAGTCATACTTTCCCATC